AGACTGGTTGAAAAGTTATGGTATGATAGAATTCAAGGAAATGCAGGAAGATAGGTCGAAAATCAAACTTTAGGAATGCATCAACCACATTCAAGGACAAATCTAATCTTAGATCGAGTTATTCCAACTCGACCAGAGGTTGGGGACGAGGAGGGTGAGGGCTGTAATGAGATGGCATACCGTACCAAAAGAGCAAACATAATGAATCGGTCACTTAGGTTGAACAAACCGGGTTGTCGAGATAGAGCATTGGGGAGGTCGATTGTCCACAAGCCATCTTCAGGTCGCAAGAAGTGAGAGGGGTTCAGTGGGGCAGCGACAGGTCAAGCTAAGGCCCTCATATGGCTTGCTGGGAACTCGACCTGTTAGCATGGACAATCATATTGTCAACCAGAAAGGACAATACTTATACTCAAAACATGCATTACTTTACCTCAGACGATCTCAAGTTGGTTGCACAATTAGGCGGTATAATGGGAAATTTAAGAGATAAGAAGTAATCTTCAAGGGTTAGGAGCTGCACGTGGATAGGGCCACATGGCCTAACAGAATTGGGTAGTTCCAATTGTGCTATCGGGAAGTTTGGGTAGCCCATTCGGGAGTCTTGGGCAACAAAGTATCATCTCCTTATATAAAGGAGTGTGGTATGCTTAGTATCACATTACACTATCATTACTCAACACTTATACTGCACTTCATCTTCTACAAGTGCTAACTTTTGGAGGCTCTTCACCGGAAACCCCCTCTGGTATGAGAGTTTAATAGGTCTAAGGCATTCAACTGATGCGGATGCTCATATGAAGATGATTTTCAGCCGATCAGAAGTCTTTTGGGTACCTGACGGAATTGCGATTTCTTTGCAATCTAAAAAACAAACACTGGTTGTTACATCTTTAAGCCACACTGAAATCATTGCACTTAATGAAGTAAATAGGGAATCATTCTGAGTCATAAATATGATTCAACACATCCAACAGGCTATTAGATTATCTAAGAACAAAGATCTGATAATAATATTCGAAGATAATGCAACATGTGTTGCTCAAATCGAAGAATGATACATGAGTGACAAAACTAAACATATCCAACCATAATTCTTCTCATGCACTGAAGAGCTTGAAAGAATAAATAAATAGAAATTCAATACATTTGACCAAGAGATAATGCAATAGATGTATGTGCAAAGGCTCTCGCCGGTAGAACGCCGCGTACCTGAAAAGAACTCCCACACCGGAGGGGTTTTCCAGTGAAGAGTGTCCAATGCTTAAGTCAGTATATGTTCTATTCAATTCTTAAGAGTAAAAATGGATAAAATCATCTTCATGAAGTAAAGCTCACCCCTATATATAGGGGTGAGATACCTACCATAGATGCTGCCCAGGTTATCTGAGCTGACATCCCAAAAGCTGCTTGACCTGCCCATCCGTACACATGCAGTGTGTGTGTGTGTGTGTGTTAAAAACAGTTATCACCTTAGACCAATACAATCACACCACTTGTCCTCCGCACATGGGTTAAAGATTCCTATGTGTTCTCTTTGAATGCTCTTATGGTCGACCGCATCTAGATCTCTCTGCCTGCGAAGTTTGTCGATTAAATGATATTTTGCCCGATAGGCCTATCTTCAACCAAGCCCTCCATGGTCCTGGAGTCGACCTGTTCTCCTCGTACTAGAATCTCTTGTACACTGTCCTCGTGATGCTCGACCACGACCCTTCTGTTCGATTTTGTTCGGCCGAGATGGCCAATTCGGTTTGCTTAACTCGTTCTACTAGCTTAGTAAACCGGTTTACTCCTTTTAGTATAATATCCCATATCATTTAGTCCCCTCCACTCTGGACGAGTCTGAATGACTCGATCTAAGAGTAGGTTTCAGTTCGTCCTTCAAACTGTTATGTCTTCCCTCGTGTTTCGACCACCTAATGAATATTCTCCCTTCTTTCGACCGCTTTTTCTTTCAATCACCATTATGAGACTCATCCCTGCCACTTGTCACGTCTGTCAGATATATCAATAATTGCGTCTCCTCGAGATGTGCCCCTCTTCGTGTCTCGTGCCACTTAAATGTTCCCAGCTGTTGGATTTCACCCTTAATCCAAGGGTTACTTTCTCAATACTTCAATTTGCCTCAATATTCACCTATAAATACCCATACTTAGAATTTTTCTTGTTTTTTCACCTTCACCAGATTTTGAACTCGCTTATGCCCTAACTTTCTCTCGTGCTTCATGCACTTAATTCCTCTGCGGCTCAAGTTTCTCCGTCGATTTTCCCAACCGCGACAATGAGTAAGTTTCTACAAATTAAATTTGTGTTTTTTGTTTCTGCTTTTAACTTTCGATTTTTCTGATTTTCAATCCTTCTTTTCGAAATTTCGCTTATGCCCTAGCCGTAAAAATCCCCCTCTTTTTCCTTTTTTATTCTTTCTCAAAACCGTAAAAATATTCCCTTTGACATCTTTCTCCATTATTTTTTAGATTCCGCTACCTCTAGTGAGAACGACCACCACTCCGGCAAGGACATGTCCTCTCCTTCTTCATCTTCGACACCACGACTTACTCCTCATTCCCGTAGTAACTCTGTGGAGGAGATTCTTCAGGCTGTTCCACTTACTGTACTGAAGCCCATCCATTCCGACGGTACTCCTTTCGAGCCCCCTTCTCTCCCTCTACCTCTTCATCTGATCGATGAATCAGACGAGGATGTCCTCGACCATGTCCCCCTTATTCATCGATCTCAACCTACGTTCGGTGCCCTCGACGCTGCCGACATAGCTCTCGAGTAGGATGAGGACCACATCCCTCTCTCCCACCGTTCTGTTCCATCAAACTCTACTATCACGACCAATACTACAACGACCAAATCTAAATCCAAATCTTCGACCGTCCCAACCTCTTCCATAATGCTCAAATAGAAAACATTGACCAAGCCTACTACTTCCAAAACCTCGAAGACCAACCCTTCGACTAGCAGTCCTGCTCCTCGCCGTGAGACCAAGAAAACTCCCTCGACTTCTCGTCTAGCTGGGTGGTTGGATCTCGACAAAGTCGGCCAACCCTCGTACTGGGCCTTCATTAGCCCTGGCCAAATAACACTTATGACGATTCGCCCCAAAACTGCTATTCGAAATTCACTTCGACCTTGACATCCGTTTTCCCCTTAGTCATGACTTGATAGAAATCTGCAATTGGTTCGATCTCCCACTGAATCAGCTTTCCCCCAATGCTATTCGCTTTATTACCACCTTCATCGTTCTTTCTCACGTCCGTCTAGGTCGATTCGACCTAGACTTCTTTCATTATCGCTACATGCGTTCCAAATAAGCCAACAAGCTTTACCTAAAAATTCGGAACGAGGCTCACTTCATCTCCGATATCCTCTCCAATTGTCCTAAATGGAAGCATAAATTTGTTTACATCGTGCCCGAGCTCACCGCATATAGACAAGTTCGAACAAGCCGCCCGGCCTCGACCGAGTTCGGCCGAACTCGCCGGTCGGACGCTTGTCCAGCCGGAAAAAAATGCACCTCGTCGGAAAATTTTCTCGCCGGAAATTTCCTGTTAGAAAGGATTTTACAATTTTATGAAATTTATAAAAAAAATTAATAAGGACAAAATGGTCAAGCAAGGGTGAAATCTAGTGTGACAATGCCTCTCTTTTCTCCCGAAACCTAATCCCAAATCCGTCGGCGTCTCTTCCTCTCTTTTCGATCGATTGGCCTTCTCTGGTGAAGGCGGGCCTCTGGCCAGGGGTCATCGTTAACTGCCCACCCCCCGGACGAAGTGCGTCTCTGATGTCGCTGTGGAAGGGCTGCGATTGGAGGTTTGACTCGAGATTTCTGGCGGAGTTCTGGTCGACGGTAGCCTCCTTCAGGGTCGGTGCTTGGCTGGCGACGGGAATTTTCCCCTCAATCACAGGTGGAGCCTCGTTTTGCGAAGGTGTGTTGTCCGACTGCTGCTCTTTGTTGGTGAATCTTGGTCCCGGCTTCTTTTGGCGGGGCTCCGCCTCTTTCGGGTGGTGGGGCCTCGGCCTCCGATTGGGCCCCTTGTGGTGGTGTTGGGCGGAGTGCGAGTCCTTGGAGGGGTGGGGCTCCGGTCGCTGCAGCTCTTTAGCCGTAGTGGACGGGGTAAAGGGAATGAACCACCTTCATCCTCCCCTGCCCGGCTAGTGGTGTTAGGCGGCGGGGGAACCTGAGCTCAGCT